AATCACAAAACACACATAATTAAACATAAGTGATAACTGTATCAAAATGAATTTCTGAAGATAATAAACTTTACGATGGTCTAAAAGCCCACAACACAGCTAATGCAAATGTTAAATATAATTAAACCTTGAAAATCATGTTTGTTGAGAAAGTTTTAATAAACCATTATGCTTACAAAACACACTGACAATGCAAGAAAAAAGAAAAAATAAATCAAGAACTTCACTGAGCATAACAGCTGAATTAAGTATTTATTTACAAACACATCCCCTCAAGGAAAAAAATGTCATTTACCTGTAGCGGTGCTTATAACGTATGGATCCAAACTTGCTGAGTTTTCGTGACAGTGAATTAGATTCATTTTCTGGCATTCTAATCAATTTGTAAAAGAAAATCAGATAAAGACTCAACGTTATAGGCATTCTGGGCCACTCCTTACTCCTAACACAAACTTTATAAAGGACCCCAGCCACTTTATTAGAATACTTCTCCAACATCATGCTATTCATACTCCATGAGGATGAAACAGGGAAGAACTCAATTTTGTTTCCATTTAAAAAACAAAAACAAAAAATAAAGCTTAATGTATCACCAGCTAAATTTTTGTTCTATCTTTACAACATAAAGACGTGAAACAAGGAAAAAGTATCCCCACAATCCAAAGGTCAGTTCTCTAGTTTCATCTGACCTGACCTCCCAGGAGGACTGCATGCAGTTGCCAGCACCTTATTCATCAAGACATTCTCTTTCCTCGTTTCCCAGGATACCACACACTCTTCTGACTGCTCCTTCTTATACTCTAGACTGGCTTATCCTGGCCTGTAATGTCGGGAGGGGCCACCAAGCTCAGTCCTTGGAGTTCTGCTTCTCTCTCCACTGTTTCCACTGGTGACCTCATCCAGTCACTTCTGTAAATACCTACTTAAGTGACATCATCAACTTTGGTCTTTCCAGTGAGCCTTGTATACCCAACTGCCTTATCACATTTCTACCTAGATGGCTGATAGGCTGTTAAAATTAATTATGCACAGAACACTCCATTTCCACCAATACTACATAGGTGCTAATAATGGCTGCACATTTTACATAAACCTAAAAATATTACCTCGATCCTTTCTTGTAGTATCAAAGATATAACTGTATCTTTGTGTATAAGTACCTATGTGTATATCATGTACACATACATGAATATATGTGTGCATGTTTGTATTAATATAATCCAGAGAATTAGGAATTGAGAAAATTAATAAAAGGGAAACAATTCCAAATTTGTTTGTAGACAGAATTCCTTTTATAAAAACAAATGCCATTTTCATTTATTAAAACAACAAACAAAATTTTTACATCAATTTACCTAAAAAATGTATGATGTTCCACACTGCACTTCCAGAGATGCTTGCAAGCAGTTTTACTTCGAGCTTCAAAAAAGAATGAGGTTTCATTACACTAAGAGAGAAAGAGAGAGACAGAATATGAATAATGACCAGGGAAGGAAGATAGCATTCTTCAAGTAACAGCTCCCTTTAGGTAACAAAAATTCAAGCAGAGAGATTATTGAAAATATATAAAGAATAATTGTCTCTTGATAACTATTTTTGGAGAGGTGCATTAAAATCACCTTCCATCAATTAAAATTTTATAAATTCCATTTACATCTTAAAGCACCTTTATTACCTACTTTTACATTGCCCCATGACGATAGACAGTTTGGACAGTGGCGGTGAAATACTATAAAATCTCCCTCATAAACAGCCACTAATACAGGAAAAGCACAGACCATGTGAAAATCAAAACCCAATCAAAAGAAGATGCCCATAAATCCAGTCCTTAAGTGTATTACTTTCAGGGATGAACAAGTCACACATAAAGCAATGAGTAAAGAACCTCAGGAAGAACCACCAGAAGGAGTGAACAACCCAGCAGCATCATCTGGAAAATTAAATAACGTCTCTGATGCCATATTTCTCCATTCTACATCACGTTACTGGGTGGATCAAATTAAACAATATGCATATGTACAGTATCATATAATAGGTGTATAATACATGTTAATTATTTTAATCCAGTAGTTACTTGATTCTTTATATTAAATATGTAAGAAATAAAACAACATTGAAGGTACAAATCAGCCCTCTATATCCAAAGGTTCCACATATGCAGATTTAGCCAACTTGAATCAAAAATATTCAGGAAAAAAAATACAAATTTAAAAAGCAATAGAGCATAACAACTATTTACACAGCATGTATATTATGTGAGGAATCATAAGTAATCTAGAGATGACTTAAAGTATATGGGAAGATGTGTGCAGGTTATATGCAAATACTACACCATTTATATAAGGAACTTGAGCATCCTCAGACTCGGGAGGAAGGTTTCTGAAACCAATATCCTGTGGATGCTGAGGAGCAACTGTACAAGCATACCTTGGAGATACTGTGGGTTCAGCTCCAGACTACTGCAATAAAGTGAATATTGCAATAAAGTGAGTTGCACATATTTTTTGGTTTCCTAGTGCATGTAAAAGTTGTTTACACTATACTGTAGTCTATTAAGTATACAATAGCACTATGTCTTAAAAAAGAAAAACAACAACAACATATATACCATAATTTAAAAATACTTGATTGGTGAAAAATGGTAAAAGTCATCTGAGCTTTCAGGAAGTCATAATCTTTTTGTTGATGGAAGGTACTGCCTCAATGCTGATGGCTACTGACTGACCAGGGTGGTAGTTGCTAAAGGTTAGAGTGGCTGTATCAATTTCTTAAAATGAGACAACAATGAAGCTTTCTGTGTTAACGGACTCTTCCATTCAATAAAGAATTCTTTGTAGCACATGATACTGTTTGATAGCATATGACTCACAGAAGAACTTCTTTCAAACTTGGAGTTAATCTTCTCAAACCCTACCACTTCTTTATCAATTAAGTTTGTGTAGTATTTTAAATCCTTTGTTGTCATTTTAAAAATGTTCACAGCATCTTCACCAGGAGTAGATTCCGTCTCAAGAAACCACTTTTGCTCATTCATAAGAAGCAACTCCTTATTCCTTGAAGTTTTATCATGACATTGCAGCAATTAAGTTGTACCTTCAGGTTTCACTTCTAATTCTAGTTTTCTTGCTATTTCTACCACATCTGCAGTTACTTCCTTCACTGAAGTCTTGGACCCCTCAAAGTCATCATGAGGGTAGAAATCAACTTCTTTCAAACTCCTGCTAATCAGAATAATTTGACCTCCTGCCATAAATCATAAATTATTTTAAGAGCATCCAGAATGGTTAATATTTTCCAGAGGTTTTTCAATTTGCTTTGTCCAGATCCATTAGAAAAATCATTATCTATCGCATCAATAGCTTGTAAAATGTATTTCTTAAAAATATTTGAAAGTCGAAGTTACCTCTTGATCCATGGGTTGCAGAAGAGATATTGTGATAGCAGGCATGAAAACAACATTAATCTCCTTGTATAATTCCATGAGAACTCTATAGTGACTAGGCGCATTGTCGATGAACAGTAATATTTTGAAAGGAATCTTGTTTTTCTGAGCAGTAGATATCAACATTGGGTTTAATATAGTCACTAAGCCGGCCCGGGAGCGGTGGCTCACACCTGTAACCCCAGCACTTTGGGAGGCTGAGGCAGGCGGATCACTTGAGGTCAGGAGTTCAAGACCAGCCTGGCAAACATGGCAAAACCACATCTCTACTAAAAATACAGAAATTAGCCGGGCGTGGTGGCAGGTGCCTGTAATCCCAGCTACTCAAGAGGCTGAGACAGGAGAATGCCTTGAATCTGGGAGGTGGAGGTTGCAGTAAACCAAGATCACGCCACTGCATTCCAGCCTGGGTGACAAGAATGAGACTCTGTCTTGGGAAAAAAAAAAACATACACACACACATATGTGTGTATATATATATATGTATTTTTTTCTAAGCCATCCTGTAAACAGATGGGCTGTCATCCAGGCTTTGTTGTTCCATCTATAGAGCACAGAGTACAGTTATCATCATTTGCATGGACCCCAGAATTTTCTGAATGGTAAATGAATATTGGCTTCAACTTAAAGTCAACAGCTGCAGTAGAAAATAAGAAGACAGTCAGCCTGTCCTTGGAAGCTTTAACACAGGCATTGACTTCTCCTTATAGCTATGAAAGTCCTAGATGGCATCTTCTTCCAATAAAAGAAGGCTGTCTTGTCTCCACTGAAAACCTGTTGTTTAGTGTAGCCATTTTCATCAATAATCTTAGCTAGATCTTCTGGATTACCTGCTACAGCTTCTAAATCAGCACTTGCTGCTTCACTTTGTACTTTTTATGTTATGGAGATGGCTACTGTCCTTCAACCTCATGAACCAACGTCTGCTAGCTTCCTACTTTTATTCTGCAGTTTCCTCACCTCTCTTAAACTTCAGAGAATTGAAGAGAGTTAGAGCCTTGCTCTGGATTAGAGACTCTGGCTTAAGGGAATGCTGCAGCTTGTTGGATCTTCTATCCAGACCACTCAAACTTTCTCCAAATCAGAGTAAGACTGTTTTGTTTCTTACTACTTTTGTGTTCACTAGAGTAGTTCTCCAAATTTCCTTCAAGAATTTTTTTCTTTGCGTTCACAACTTGGCTAACTGGCACAAGGGGTCTAGCTTTCAGCCTATCTCACCCTTCAAGATGACTTCCTCACTAAGCTTAATCATTTCTAGCATTTGATTTCAAATCACAGATGCACAACTATTCCTTTCAGTTGAACACTTAGAGGTTATTGTAGGGTTATTAACTAACCTAATTTCAATATAACTGTGTCTTGGAAAATAGGGAGGCCTAAGGAGAGGGAGAGAGACAGGGAATGGCCAGTCTGTGGAGCAGTCAGAACATACACATCGTTTATGAATTAAGATCACCATCTTACATAGATGCAGTTTATGGCACCCCAAATCAATTACAACAGTAACATCAAAGATCACTGATCACAGATCACTACTGAAGCAGCTACACTGTCCAGTGTATATACCTTGGGGTTCATTGTCATGCACTGAGAAAAAATTCAGGACATGGACACATGTGGGTAGGTTAAGGAGTGAAAAGTTTAATAGACAGAAGAAAGGAGGGAGGAAAGCAGCTCCCTGAGAAAGAGAAAGAGACATCTGAAAAAGGGGGGAGGCCATGGACCACAGCAGATTTTATAGGCAGGCTGGAGAAGACGGTGCCTAATTCATGTAGGGCTCACAGAATGGCTTCATCAGATATGATGTCTACATAGTGCGCAGGGAAGGCTGGTCACCCTACCCTAATCTTCTTATGCAAATGGGCTTTCCAGTTGATCTGCGCCATTTTGTCTGCTCCTTTATATTATGTGTGGCTGGCAGAGAAGGGAGGATGGACCCACCATTTTGAAAATGTCTTGTCCTTAGTTCCTGCCAGCACCCACCTGGGCAAGCTCCTAGCTTTCAGGGTGCTCTGTGTTAGAAAATGATTCGGGACTGCTTTTCATTAAAAAGAAAAGCCTTACCGAGGAGGACTCCCATGCCCATGTTATCTACCTAAGTAATTCCTTCTTAGCTCCTGTATCATTATAACATATATAATAATAATGAAAAAGTTTGAAATACTATTGCAAGAATTACCAAAATGTGACACAGTGACACGAAGTGAGCATATGCTGTTGGAAAAAAGCTACCAACAGATTGACAGGGTTGCCACAAATCTTCAATTTGTAAAAAAAACACAGTATCTGCAAAGCACAATAAAGTGAAGTGCAAAAAAATAAGATATGCCTGTAATTCTAATTTTGCAGAAAATACTACTTATATTTTAAGTAACTGAATAGAAAACTAAGCAAAACACAATATGAGTGCTAACATAATAAACCACAAGCTCTGTGAAGTTATATACTTGCTAATTTAATTTCAAAGCTACAAACCAAACTCAAGTCTCAAATGAAGCAAATGCCTCTGAAATGAGGTTTCTATGCACTCATAAACACAAAACGATCAATGCAAAAGAATAATTGAAATGATTTGTCTCCTAGTTTTAATAAGGACAGAACATTTATGTGTATAAAATTTCTCCCAAGTCCAACTTGAAAAATGCTTCCCAACTTAGGAGTTTGTCAGATGAAGAGATATGATGGAAACCACACCAACATACACACATTACAGCAAGGCTAGCTGTAATTCCAAAACCTTGTCTGGTGGAGGAAGAAAGTTAGGAAAATTTTCAGGTTTCTGGTTTGGGTGCTACTAAAATATAGCAAGTGGAAAAAATGGGCATTTGGATGACAAGGGAGGAGACATTAAGTTCAGGTTAAGATATTTTGATTTTGAGGTCCCCATAGGACACCTAGAGGGCCAATAAGGACGCAGGTGCAGAGAGCCAGAGAGAGGGGACATCTACTCACACAGGTGATCTCACCATGTGAACAAGACGGCTCAGGGAGAGCGCACAGAACGG